GGAAAACTTGCTGTAAAACCAAAGCTAACAGCTAAAAAGGGGGAAAGGCTTAGTAGATCTGCAAGTGACCCCTTTAAAATTTTGTTAATATAAAAAATACTAGGATTTTCATCACCATCAAATCAATCGACACTCATAATAACAACAGGAATGTCACAACTATTATTAATAAGAAAATAAACAGAATAAAAAAATACTTTAGATAAGTAGTGCCATATTGTGTAATATTCATTAAAGGGTCATGAAATTAGATTGAAATGCAGACTGCGATGAGTCTATCTTCTGTTTTTTAATTTTACAAAATGAACCACACTAGCCATATGCTTGTTTGGTACTTCAACACTGTGAAACTTTGTGACTGGAGGCAGTGATCTACTATAAAAAACATTTACTAGCCTAATCACACTGAGTTGTCATTTTATTTAACTTAGCCTACATGTTTGATTTGTTATTTTGACCTAAACATTTAGTAGTGATGTGATCTTCGTGCTAACATAATTTTCACTTCACATGGTGATTTTCAGCTATATAGTGATGTGTTGTCATATCAGTTGAAGCAAAATGCTTAATTAAGAATAGCTATTTCTGTAAGTCGAACAACCTGTGTTGATCTCGTCTATGGTTATCGCTGTTTTATGCTCAGAGGAAGACAACTCTCCCATTCCACAAAGTGGTTCGTTTATGTTTTTAAAAGCATAAACCAAGTAAGACCAATATAAGACCAGTCACAACTGCTGAAAAAACTGGAACTGGAATTGTAGGCAGTAATTCACTACATATTTTGAGGGAACCTGGATTAGCTGCTGACCATGAAGTTAATTTCCATGTTACTAAAACAGCTCTTCCTTATAAATACTGCAACAATTCCACAGCTTTTTTTCCACAGAGGTAGATTTGTGCAGTTAGGAGAGTTTCACTGGATGACTCTATCTCTCACAAGGGTTGATAAGTGAGTTTCAGTTAGCAGAGGGATTATTTATTTCTCTGTTGTTTCCTTGCTAGTCTTCCTGAGGTCCAACACAGAAATTATACAATTATATACATTGTGTACATTACATACAAAAACAAAAACAAACAAGCAAAATCAATCGTCAGACCATCAAATACTACAAACAAAAACAATTCCAAAACAGTGTTAGCTCTTCAAATGATCAAATCCTACTGGGAATGTAGTATTTCAGCATACTGTATGCATAACAGGTTTATCTATTTGGTTAACTGCCAAGAGAAATTCAGATACGTGCATGCGTCTGCAACTACTGCCAACACACTGATCACAGTGACCTAAATAAAAGGAGGGAAGTTATAAAAATATACTTCCAGAGTGGAAGAACTGTCCTGCTGGAAGAACTGTAAAAGTGCAGCACACGTCGGCATGTAAGGATATTATATCATGACTAATCAATTTATAACATACCATAACTTTACATATTTTCTTTCAGTGTTTCAAACTGATTTAAATGTGATTTGGATCTGGTCCAGTAAGTCGCTCAGTCCAAAACACTGGTGGGGGACAAATTATGTTTTAAGCTTTCAAAGCACTTTATAAATGGATTCTGAAAGTCATACAATGATTCAAGCAGTGATTTAAAGAAAACTTGACCAGCTGAGCTTAAGTTTCCTCGTAAACTAACTCGTCTATAAGATTTGGTGAAAATGTGTGAAAAGCCACCACTAAGTAAGAACAAGAACTAAAAGACATAAGATGTAGGCAGTGATATCTCATTAATGATTAATTTGTTTCTGTTGTACTTTCTGAAAACCTAAACACAACCCCACCCTAACCTTACCACTAACCCAGCTGCCTCCTGCTGTGTGATGTGACGCAAATGTAACAAGCTACACTTTGTTCACAAGTGCATGTGGAGATTTTTATTAACAGGGCATCCCATTGATGATATCATTCATCATTAATCATTTCCACAACTTCAAAAGACTCACCGGAGCCATCACAAAACGGCAGCACTACCAAGATTGAATGCTACAGTGTCACATGACAGGGGACAAAGGACATCACTTTAACTTTAGCAATTACGGGCTAGTTTTGCAAATGTATCTACAACAGCATTATTATTATTATTATTATTATTATTAGTGTTGTTCTTATTGTTATTTTAGTATTCTAGTTAACTGAGCATTGTCAGTACATGTTTGTGCAGAGTTCATATACTTTCCTGCATTTATACTTAAACTAAAACGTATTCAAAACACTTAAACATGAAATTCCTGATATAAGAAATACCGTGATACTAAATTTTACTAAGATAAGTCTGAGATTCTGTATATTCTGTACTTTAAAGACCTTTTTTTTTTTTCAAACTTCACATTTTAAAATGTTTTTATTATAACATACATTTTGGAAGTACACAAAACTATAAACCTTTTTTCATGTTGACAAAAAAAATGTTTGCCAGAGGGGTGTGAGTGCACATCGGTCACAGTTGACAATAATGAAACTTGTACATAACTACCATAGAAACTAAAACACATCTACTATCAACTGTCTGTCAAGATAATGGCAGTACAATGTAATAGAAACTGTTGACCTGAGAAGGACCTAAAAAACATACTAGTTTTATACTGAGTTATATTTACTGCACCAAATGATTTTCTTTTGGCAAAATAACACTCAGTATTTATTTTTGAAATATATCTTTCAAACCGCCTGTTTCAAAAAAAAAACAGGGACAGTTTTTAACTTTTTATTCAGTTGTGATGCTGCTCCATAAGCAGACTCGCAGTTACTAAGTAATAGGTTCTTTGTAAGAGGCAGGGAGTTTTGGATTTAATGGCTGTTTAGAGATTTATGGACACATTCAAAACTTCAGTTAAAATCTCTTTGAACACTGGGTGATGCCACACTTTCACAACCACCCAGAAATCTTTTTTTCTCTTTGTGCTTAAACGCTCCAGAGTCAAACAAAACCCAAGTTGTGTGCTTTATTGCTTTATTATGGGAATATAAAAATGTTCATGTTCATACAAACTGCAGGGAACTTCAGATAAAGATTCAGATATAAGTTTGTATCTGCTTCCTCTAAGTCACAGTTGAACCCACAAGTGACCCTTCCAAGAAATATAGAACAGATTATGGCACAAGTGTGTACTCCACCAACACACACATATACACACACAAAATGGCAGAAAGCAGAAGCTGCTGCCTCCCTCTGGGCAGAGCGGAGAACAGCAGACAGAGAGGCAAACTTCAGAGAGTTCAACGTTTTTCTTTTATGTCAGGGTTACAACATTTAGAGGGTACAAAATCCAGACCTGTCAAATACGATGTATATCATAGCACTAGCACTAACACTGATCCCTCTTTGTTGCCGTTCCCCTCTCTGCCCACACCAATTTCACATAAATATCAAGTACAAGCTCTTTTCCTGTGATCTTCTATCAACAAAAAACCTATGTTCTCACTTACAATCAGCCTTCAGTCTGATTCACAGAACACACACAGTCTGAACATACCAGCCTTTATTTGACATGGTCTCTTCATTTTTCACTTAATTATTTTGCTCCCAATAAATGTTTGTTCAGAAATGTAATTTTACTTCCTAAAGTAACAAAATGACTAAAGGCACATTTTTATCACTGTATGCATAACATTTAATTATCTAACCTTTGTGAAATCACGTTGGTGTGTACGACCTGGAAGCTTCAGAGAACAAGGTCACATGCCTTGCACACTGTGTGTCTCCTTTTTAAAACATTTTATTTACAAGTATGTGACAAGGTGTGAGTGAGGTTTTTCACCCTCTGTGTACACACCAGTCGATAACAGTACTGAGGGTTGCGGGAGACCTGCTATAAGCACATCAATGTTTTCACACACAAAAAGAATGGATACCTTTTTAAAACTGTGGATATTATGGACATATGACATGTCAAAGAACTTTCTGCATACACAAACTTAAAGGGTCAGTCCTGACTCCAGAGCAGAGCAGTCAGATAAGACAAACTGAGTGTGTCGCTGTACTTTATGGGCTCGTCACCAGCTCTGCCTTGATCAGATAACCATGAAATGAACCGACGTCACCTAGTCAAGTAAAGAAAGGAGCAAAGCTTTTTGCCTTATTATGTGACAGTTTGGCCTTGTAATATCAACATCTAACACTGTAACATATCTGTATGACAGAAACTAAGGAAATGCCAGACTATTTTTTCATAACTTGAAGAGGAAATGTTTTACCAAATGTGTATGCAAAGTAAAAAAAAAACGAAAAAAAAAACGTTACTTAAGCTTGTCGATGATCTTGATTGAATTGAAAATGTCAAACGTAACTTTAATTGAAAAATTCATTTAACATTTAACTGAAACTACAATCCGCCTTAACTCTAACCAAAGTGCCTAAACCGATACACAGGTGGATCTCGTCTTTGAATGTCTTCAACATAATTATTAATTCAGTGAGGAAATCTATTTTGACATCTATACGTCATCCATAGTTTGTGAAGGTGTAATAGAGCAAAATCCCCGAGCACAAGACCATATTTGGTCAGTCGGAAGTTTTTGTCAGAGGTATTGTCATTCAGAGTAGACTGAGTCATCCCTCACTCAGGACGTCATTCCACCCTCCTCCTGCTTCAGGTGAAACTATGGGGGAGGGGAAATAAAGAGTGGAGATGAACAAAAAAAAAACTTGTGTTACTATCAATTTTTCTTTAGATGCTTATAATCTGTTAAAATTGAGTATTTTATATGGTGTTACATAAAAAGCAGTTTCACACATTTTCTTTTGTTGAATGGATGGCTGGGGGATGGTAAACAGGTTTTGGGTTTGTGGAGTTTGGGGGTGGACCTGAAGAGCAGGGACTAATGACGGTGAGCTGTTTTTCGCCATTGGCCCCTCCTCTTTCAGAGAGAAAATCATATGTACCTGCTCTCATCTCAATCCTCTCCCATTCACCTGTCTAACAGAAGACTTGCCTCCATCACAGAAGGACACAAACAACTCTCACAAGCTCGCATCACTCCAAGGGAGGAATTACAGCATACAGAGAGACCTTTCAAGTCTGCAATTTAAAAGAGGAAGAAGTTTCATTTGAAGAAAAAATCTGCTGTCCACGATGGTGTCTGCTGGGTTTCAAATGCTGGGAGCAGCTCTGGGGATCGTGGGCTGGATTGGTGCCATTGTTGTGTGCGCCCTTCCCATGTGGAAGGTCACTGCTTTCATCGGCAGCAACATCGTCACCTCACAGACCTCCTGGGAAGGTATTTGGATGAGTTGCGTGGTCCAGAGCACAGGCCAGATGCAGTGTAAGGTCTACGACTCCATGCTGGCCCTCAGCTCTGACCTCCAGGCAGCCCGGGCCCTGACCATCGTCTCCATCGTGGTGGGCGTAATGGCTATCCTGCTCTCTGTAGCCGGGGGGAAATGCACAAACTGTGTGGAGGACCCGCCATCCAAGATCAAGGTGGGCATTGCATCTGGAGTTATGTTCATTGTTGCTGGGGTCCTCTGCCTCATCCCTGTCTGCTGGACCGCCAACACCATCATCCAAGACTTCTACAACCCGCTGTTGGTCAGCGCCCAGAAGAGAGAGCTCGGTGCTGCACTCTACATCGGCTGGGGGGCTGCCGCTTTGATGCTGATTGGAGGGGGGATTCTCTGCTGCAACTGTCCCCCTAAAGATAAAGGCTCCTACACTGCAAAGTACAAAGCTGCCAGATCAGATGCCTCAGCACCAGTGTCCGTAAAAGACTATGTTTGAAACAGATCTACAGATCAGTAAATGCCTTCCACAAAGCAGTGTTTGCTGGGACAGATGAACTGGTGCTACTGGGTTGTGAGAGCTGATATTTCAGGATGTTACTGGAGTTTTAGAAAGAAAGAAAGGAACCACACCCAAAGATGAAATTCAATTTTATATGTTAACACAGTTATTTGTATGTGTATGGTTGTTAATATGAATATTAGGAATGTAAGTCTTTTCTTTGTGGTATAAATAATCTCTATCTTATTTGAATTTGTTGTATATGGGTTGTTGTTATGAACCATGTGTTTGAGATTTGTGGTGTGCCAACTACAAAAACAACTGTAAATAAATATTTTGTTTACAAATCTGAGTTCACTTGTGCTTGCTTTTTATTTTCATATTCATTCACACAACAGCTGTGTTCAACAATATTCATTCTGTGGTTTTAAAATGCGACAAAACAATCAAATAAATAAAATTCTTGGATTAACTTTTGTGTTTACAGTTTTAAATATTTTCTCTACATATGTACACATTTAGTGATTCAAATATATCTATTCACCACTACATAACAATCAAAACTAGGATCCGAGGGAAAAAAAACAACCCTCACAGCATTTGAGAAGCATCTATTATCTTGACTTTCTTGTAGATCAGGTTTAGGTGTGTCAGAAAAAGAGGCATAGTGACTTGAAACTGGTCTTTGTTCAAACTGTCACCCTACAGAAAAAA